CAGGTTAGCTTGTATGCAAGATATTTCCCTGACAGCTGAGGGAAGTCCCTTACATTGCTTAAGCCTTATATTGCATGCTGCTAAACCCAAAATACTGTCTGCATCAGCGGACTGAATGCTCAATTACCACCTCTTCTTGCTACTGCCGATAGTACGAACCTGATATTTTTCGAGCTAATTCGGGCTATAGTCTGAACAGTACTTTGGGTTATTATTTGAGTCAAATTGTGATAAATAACTGTAAAGAAACCTCCCTAATATTTAGCTTGATACAGCCCGTGATGACCCGAATTTTTGTTTGAGTCACACAGATCCCAATATCCTAATAGTATATCTAGTTGGACCGAGTCAAGGCAAGAAGAGTCCGAGTTCAGGGTGGTTCTCCCATTAGTAGGGGGTATGTCTTGTGTCCATTAATAGTCCGGTCGGGTGACGAGGGTCCTCCGCGTGGTTTGGGCTGGTTCAGTCGGCAGACTTGTCAAATCAAGAGGCTGCTAGTTTCAAATCTTTGATTCAAATTATATAATGGGATAAGTCCCGCTTTCATGATGCGTCTCCCAATTCGGAGGCAAGGAAAATATGGATCTGAGCGAATACTTGTCCAATTTTAATCAAGAGAATGCATATAACTGATGACGATATCTTCGGTAGAAAGCAAGCAGAGGCTGAGAATATCTCTTGGACGGACATTGATGGTAAATAATCTCAAGAAAGACTTTGACGATGGGAGGGGCCAAAGAGGTGAGGACGGAAGTGATAGAAGGGGACTTTGGTGCTGGATGTTATGTTGACGTTGTAATCAAAGTTAAACGCAGCAACAGTGGTATCTTATCAGGACTACACTATACGCTAGCTACAGCATAACCTGTTACGTCTTAGTCTCAAACCTTATTTCTTTTAACCACGCTCACGGTTTTTAGAACGTATTGTGGACCTAAATGTATTTTACCACCGGAACAGTTAAAAAACAAGCTTTAGTATGTAGACCCTATGGTACGCGGTGGCCTTAGAAAAAGTAAGAGCTTATAATAAACACTCCAGTTTACATGAATCGAACCACCCATCTAGGTCTGGTACAAGTTAATACTAGCTGTGTTGAGATATATTCCGACATATTAGCTTATAGTAGCTACTTGCTAGCTAGTCCCAATTATTTTTCGCCCTCAATACTCCAATGCCGCCGACAAATCACATCAGGAGAATTTACTGCCGTATTCACACACGCATCCCTAATTATAAGCGCTATATCGGAGATCTATACGAACAATAATCAACGATACAGACACGAGTGATAGGTTATGATTCACATATCATAAATATATTTCTTTTTGAGGATACCGAGTGATAATATATGACTGAATTTACAACGATCAGGTCTTGATTGATCGTCATTCATGTACATGAGGCCTTCCACTGGTAGCACCCGTTGATCTTTGAGCATCTGAATGATGTGATGATGATATCTCTTGTAAGTATTGAACAATGCGCGCGTCTCTTATCGATTCCCACACGTGACGTTGAGACCATTGTCTAGTACAGAGATTTCGTCTCTACCCAGGCTAGATGAAGACCTAAATACTCTCTTTTAACTAGGGAATTTGTTTATGGCCTGTTTTGACAGGTCTCGGCGATATCTTCAAATTCGAAGACCTAAAAAGTATCGATTATCAGGGAATTCGGCCTCCTAAATACAGATTTATTCTCTCGGCTGTATATTTAACGACAATCAAGTTAAAACGAACCTATATCAACCTCTCTCGCTGGCTATAGTCTATAAGTATTTGACGGTTGTGTAAAGCCTGAGACGAGTGGACAATCCATGAAAAGGCCACACACACGCACGAGGCAAGCAGGCCTAGGAGCAAAGAGAAACACATTCTAAGAATCAGGTGTGGTCTATATATCTAGCAAAGAAAGGGTCTATGAACCAATACCTGCTGGTATTTTCGTGGCTTGCTGGCTATGGAGAGACCTACCCCGGGACCATAATCCTCACCTCCAAATTGCAGGTGTCCCCCATGTCCCCACGCACTGCTCTCAAATATCCAACCACTATTAAAAAAACAAGGGATGAAATTGATTACTACTAAATTAACTAATTTCCTCAGCGACGCTCTCCCGCTCAAAGAAACCAATACAAAACCTAACTCCGCTAATAAATGGTCTATTTGTATAATTACATGCCAAGGAGGCACTCTTTCTCTATCGAGACACAGAGTTAAATGTTCGTTAAAGCCAACATTGAGATACATACTTATATGCATCTTCGCCCCAAATTCGCCCACCTCCGACTCTTCGGCCCATCATTTGTCGGGGCCCGGCCCGAATGAGTATTACTCCACCACGACACATAGATAACCGCCAGCCCCACATAACAAAAACACGAAAAATCCACGATCGTCTCCATAAAACTTGCTCAACGTTACAAATAACGCTATGAGGCTCGTTCTGCTGACTTCATACTTGTAACCATTCAAAAGCAAAAAAAGATTGGAGACGCGGGGAATCGAACCCCGGACCACCTCTACTCAAGATACTACTCAGGATGAGAGTACTCAATGCTAAAGAGGTATTATACCACTAAACCACATCCCCTTATGACATTGTTTAACTCTTACCCTTCAAAATGTTTTTTGTGGTGGTCGAGAGCGGGAAAATTCTTCCCTAGCACGGAGGCTTGGCATAAAAAATTGCGGGCCCCCACATGAACGCAGAATTTTCAGTCCCGATTCAGATCAAAACGGCTACAACTCCTCAAGAATCCAGACCGCTATGAGGTAATTCTGTTCACAATTGAGGTCGAACAACTACATAGTACTGTACCCCATCGAAAGTTGCAGGTCCCAACCATGACCACGAACTTAGAAGCCTCACTAGCAATGCTCCCAGCCGCAATCCAGATCGCAATCCAGATCAACAAAGTTAAATCCTCGATAAAAGTAAAGACATATGCGATTCTATGAAGTAATTCCGTTTAAATCGATGCCTCATACTAAACCACGAGAAAAAGAAGTCCCAGTCCAAATCCAAACCCAAAAGAAAAGAGTGAAACACGGGGAGATCGAACATCGGGCCACCTCTACACAGACACAGAAGACCTGATGATACTCTCTCTATACGATACGAAAGATGTGTTACACGTGCCCTTAGGACTTCTGAACCCCAAAAAGGTTCTTTACTTGTTAATAATTTATCCGTGGGCTTATGAGACATTTGTGGATAAACCACATCCCCAACGATGCAAGCTGGTAATGATCGATAAACCCACAAAAAATAAAAGATTGAGGTATGGAGTTCGTTATCCAGGATTCCCACATGGTCACCCACTGCAGTACTAACTGGACGATATGTTGCTTATGTATGGCAGAGCGGACGGGATGCCCAGTTTTCAACATTCTATGAACGAACACGTTAGGAAGCGTTATTCAACCCAATTTATCTTAGAAAAGATTCGATGCTGATCTGCACTTGTCTCATAAAATGCGGAAGGCCACTGTGCCTTCTTCCCGCTGCGAATTTATTAAATTGGCATTCATGGTTCAGATCGATACGGGTTTGACAGTCGTCGTTAGAGAATTTTTTTCGTAAAAGGGTTAGGGTTATGAATACCACGGTGGTTGTGATTCTTAAAACTTAAGTGGGACAGGCTATGCATGCCCTGTTGGTCTAGCGGTATGATTGTCGCTTCGGGTTTCTCCCCGAGAATCGAAATTCTCAAATGTGACAGGTCTCCGGTTCGATCCCGGAATAGGGCCCATTTTTTATTTATTCGTTTTTTTTTCTCCGACGGGAGATGCGCGTGGAAATAAAGTTAACACACATAAAGCGCCTACTCGTATTTTCTTGACGTTTGTAAAAGGAACCACTATTGCATACCATACAAATACGCGCCAAGTCCACAATTTAGTATGGTATGCAATAGCGGTTCCTTTTACAAACGTCACGAAAGTACGAGTACTCTAAAGTGTAGCGCGGACTTGGATGGGCGAGTGAGGGCGGTTGGTGGACAGGCTAGCCGGGTTGGGTGGTCATGGGCTGTCACTCGGTTTTCTTGGTTGACCCCAGACTCAGGATCCGGAGGTGCCTCGCTCGATTTATTAATTGATAATTCCTTCGTGTATACAGCCCGGAGGCTATGGAGGCGCTTCGATGAGTACTTCAAAGATTTTTTAGAAGCCCCAACTCCAGCAGGATCACCGCGAAAGTTGGTTTTGCGTCACTTTACAGCTAGCCTAATTAGCACTTCACAGATCTCCTACGAGCACAGACAAACAATTCGCTCTTTTTGCTCTCGCTTTCACAATAATCTTACCGGAAACTGTACTGCGTGCTTGTTTCTATAATCGTATTCAGGAAAGAAGCTCGCGGTATAGTCGACTCTCGCCTTTATGATCTGTATATAGATACTCCGGATCCCTTTGTAAGAATTACAATCACTGCTCCCGAAGTGATTCTACTACAGCATCCCTCTTTCTTTTATAGTGGTATTCGCCTTGCAAGAATACAGATTTATATTCGATCGTAGTTTTGAAGATAGTCCTGTATTCAGTAATTTAGACATGGGGTGTCACTCGGTTACTACTTTTTTCGCGACCTTTATCTCCTCGAGAGTGTATCTAAATGTACTTTGTGAGGCGGCATTGCTTTTCAAAGGACTGGTGATATGGTATGGACTTATGCTAGCTAGGCCTTGAGGTAAAGAAATATTTCCATACCTTAATCCCTCGCGATCGGCTGTGATCGGAGCACTGGCTCAAAATTCATTTTTTCATTCTCGTTCATTGCTTTTTGATAAACTGGGGGATATTTTAAATTTACTCGATCACTTAATATCATAAAGGGTTAACGTTATTGTAATGAGGGTACTTAAGAGCTTATCATTCTCCCTAGACCATTGTGCACGCGTTGGAGGAACTTGGGATTAGGAATACCTTGACACGGTACTTCTCAATATTGGGGACTCAGAGTTTCTTTCAGCGTACTTTTAAAAACGACATCACATGCAACCTACACACCGCGCGAGTGGTCTATGGTTCCATAGTGCAGTCGGTGGGATGATAAGGCGTCACACCTATCAGCGTTATGCCAAGATCACTGTATTACATAAGAAAAGATATCTAGCACCAACAGCCCTCCATTTTGATTCTAAGGAATCGGGCGCGTAGAAGACAATGTCAGAGGCAATATCACTCTTCAACCCATATACTCATTGCACTTGGACTGATTTTAGTGGACACATCCTCTAGATGCTAGCTACACCTCATACGGAGGAAACAGATTTTAACGCGTGGACGCGGTCAATGACACTTCACGGACCATCTCCAGTGCTACCCCGGGTCCAGCTTTAAACCATCACCGAAAGTACAGACCCCGAAGGAACAGAGGAACAGAAAGACAGCACAGAGGCCATCGAGCCGTTAACTGGTGAGTGCCGCACCGTTCACTACACTCCATATATATCCCGGGCACAAGAAGAAGACCTAGCCGCCTATCAGGGCGTCATCGATCAGTGATCAAGATGAGCCGCGGTACTGAATTGATCCACGTTTCTACGACGTGTGAGCTATGTGAAACGCGTTGCGCGCACGCCTCACCCACTCGCTCGTACCGGGCCGCTCTTGCTGAATCGATCCACATGCAAGCCCTCTTGCTGCCCCTGGAAAGCCGTTGTTCTTATTGCGTTGCAAGCCCTCTTGCTGCACCCCCGTGGGGGCACACCTTGATGCCCCTGCGGGTCCGTTAGCGGCTGTTGCTCTTGCACCGTATATAAGCCCTCGTGCTGAGCCGGGGGGGCGTTGTTCTTGCCACTGTGGTTGTACCACTCCTGCTGAGTCGCCCACCTGCGAGCCCTCTTGCTGATCCGGGGAGGCCGTTGTTCATATTGCGTTGCAAACCCTCGGGCTGCACCCCCGTGGGGGCACCAGTGCTTTTGTGTCCTTGCGGGTCCGTTCGCGGCCGTTGCTCTTGCTCCGTATATGTGTCTGCGTGCTGAGCCGGGGAGGCCGTTCTTCTTGCTTTGTGATGGGACGACCGGGGCGGTTCTTCTTCTTCTATAGCTATGGCTGGGCTTGGTGTGGCTTTATGGCCTCCCCACGGGGGACACGACGGGTGGCGGCGGTCACTCCGTCAAGTCAACCGGAGGGAGGTCCTGTGTGATGGTTCGCTAACATTTCGTATAGGCCAGTGGGGACTGTGGAACCATGCATGGGTGATTCAGTGGCTGTCCTTGGTCACATATCCAGCGCTCACGGTGGTACCGGCCAGCCCTAATTAGTGTTGGTGGTAAAACGTCCAGTATATTCACCGATTCTGGTTCGGGTTCAAACAGTGTTCTGCATAGCGGGGGGTGGTGTCGGAAACCCCCTCGCACGCCCAGGGACGGAAGAAATGGAGAGTTAAGAAATGGCGTCTACTCCCAAACCACACCCGCGCGGAAGACGACGTGAGATACCCGTTATTTCTAAAAGACAAGTGCCAAGGGGCGGAGTGCGTAGTGACCCTACGGTTGCCTAAACGTGAACCCCCCCCACTCCCGCGTGACTGGTCTATAGAACGTAACGTAACATGTTCGTGCGTGACGACTACAGACACTAACGGACCAGACCAAAAAAGAAAAGTGGCGATTAGAGTTTAGTCTTTATTGACTTATTCCGTAATTTGGTAGTTCTAATATGTATGTTGTAGGAAGTGTTATTTGGGATCGATTGTTCCGACGTTAAGAAAAAGAAAAATAAAAGGACAAAAATAAATATAGGTGTTTTTTATGACTATATGTATGGCAGCTCATAATCGTTATCCTAGATGTTCAATCCCTCGGTGACTGTTATAATCTTGTTATTAAGGTTCTCAATACCAATTATATTACCAGAACCAGCTAGCCCATGACTCCATTGCCTACACCGGCCGGCCAAAGGCCGCAAGACTTGTATCCCTTCCTCTGTTTTCAAGGTATACCAACGTTTAGCCATTGTGGGCGGCAGTATTACTGCATCAAGATTCGTGCGGTTGTTAGCACTACTTTTGGTACTACTATCACCTCTCTAGATCTCCCGTGACCTGTATCAACCTCTTCCGGGCGTCCTGATTTCCTGCCCGGGACGACCCTCGGGCCTAGAGAGCCGTGAGACTCGGGACGGTTTAAGGGATACATGACATATACGACCTGATTCTGCCACGGTACCAAGCTTTCGAGCTACTTATACTACGCACACCGAGCCTTAACTATCGCCTCCCACCCACCCATCCACAAACCCAAAAACCCACATAGTCAATCATTGACCCTCTCTCCCGAGAAACCCTACTGGCACCCTTCCCCGAGAAACCCACCATCCCCCCTCGAAAAACCCTACCACCCGCACCACCACCACAACCACACAACCACCCGCATGCCCGCCACCCCACAGCATACACGCGGACCGCATGCGTACCTGCATCCTTCCCATTATCTCTCCTGAGTCCGCTAGAGCTAGTCGAGAGGTCCAGAGGTCGAGGGGCGTATGCATGTTACCAGAACACGGTACAGCACGCGCATGCGTGGTAGAGACAAGAGCTTGAGCAGACATAAACCATACGTAGAATAATTGATGGCCACATACCAAACTGGCATTAATGAAGCAAGCCGAACCCCCTCCTCCCCCTCGCCCCCCCCCCCCCCCCTCCACAAACCACAAACCGTCCGCCATAACGTCCGCCTCTAACACCACATTCCAATCCTCCCCCGCCCACTCCTCCCCCCTCCACAAACCACCCCCCCACAAACCGCCCCCCACAAACCGCCCCCCCCCCCCAAAAAAAAAAAAAGCAGCGTAAAATGTTCCTACCGCCCCCAGCACACCAAAAAAGATAACCATGATGCCGCGAGGTGGATTCGAACCGCCATGGCCTGCGTCCCCGTGACGCTTTGCAGGCTGTGTTACCGGTTACACTACCGCGGCTTGAAGAGCGGTTTTGGTGGATGTTATTCGTAACGACGGTGGGTTGTTGGTTGGATTTTGGAGAGGTTATGGGGGGTCAACGGGGGTCAACGGGGGGTCAATGGGGGGGTCAATGATTAGAGTGTTTTTTTTTTTGTATAGGGGTACTCGGGTTTTGTATATCAACATGGAGGAACGAATGAAAGAAAAGACGAAAGAGAGAAAGAAAGATGGTACAGAGAAAGATCGCAGACGGAAGACTGATATATGCAATGTTTTCAGCTACCTACAAACAGCGAGCACGCACGAAAACCAGAACCTCTAGCCATTTATTTATTTAACCCCCTCCGAACCATCCGGATCCCCCCTCTTTAATTACCCCACTGCAGCGCATCTACTACGGCTTCCTCTCAAACCCCACCCACTGCCCCTCCCCCGGCACAACCTCCAACTCCTCCCACACCCTCGCTTCCTCCATCGCGCTCACCAACTTCAGCTCCGCCCACCCCTGGTCCACCACCTCCTCAATGAGGCCGCCGCCAAACTGCGCCTCCACCTCCGCCACCTGCTCCGCCGTCAACGGCGGCTCCACCGGCAAAAAGGGCGTGGTGTCCCCACCGCCCACAACCGCCGTCTCCATGGGCTGCGCCGCCTCGCCGTGCTTTGGCGGCGGCGCGCCGGTCCCGCGCGGGTACGTCCACCGGCGGTGCTCGTTGGCGTGGTACTCGCGGATGTTCTTGTCCGTGGGGATGTGCTCGGAGGCGAAGGCGTCGAGCAGGACGCGGGCCTGCTTGACGACGATGTCGAGTTCGTCGGCGGTGGTGCCTGCGGTGCCGATCTTGTGCTGCTGCTTGAGGGCAGCTATCTGCTGCTGGTATTCCTCGAGGCCCTCGGGCTGGACCGAGGAGATGATGGCGAGGCGGTGGCGGGTGAGGTTCTCGACGGACTGGCGGTAGACCGAGTGAGCGGGGAGGCGGGAGAGGAGCGTGAGGGTGTGGTTGTAGAGGGCGATAAGCGTGGGGCGGGGGTTCGGGTGTGTGAGGAGGCCCGTCAGACCCGTGGGGGAGAAGGCGGGCAGGCGCGCAGTGAGAAGACGGAGGGAGGGATGCATGGCGGCGGATCTGATGGCTGATGCGGCGGCCAATTGGTTTGTGTGTGGTGGTTGTGGACGGTGATGTCGGTGATGTCGGTGATGGCGGGGATGGGCCGGGTTGTTAAGGTGGCCAATCAGTGGCGCGATTATGTCAGCAGGCGAGCTTGGGCGTCATGGGCTGTCACTCGCGGTCTATGCTGCATTGGGCAAGGGCGGTAGAGCCTGATCTCACACCCAGATATCGTGTGTGCTGCCTGCTGAGCAAAAGCCTTTCAAAATTGAAAGGTTTCTAACATACCAATTAACCATAAGCAATGTCTGAGATTCCTGTCATACCAGACCGACGCTGCAGCTGTGAGTCACATTCAGCTACTCATCAGGTTTACAAACCGAACCAAAGAACAAGTTAACCCATGCAAAAGAGATGTACCCCGATGACCAGTAAATGTACGTACCTACAGAGACGTAGTCAGAGATACTTCAAGGCTCATTCCCAGCGACGTATTCAGGTGACACTGTGACTAGATAATGCAAACAGCACCCAGTGCCTTGGCCAACAGTATCAAGCTGATACCGCGCGCTTTAATCTAGGCTGTTCGTTGGCGGTCGAGGTTCCGCCGGAATGTTAATTGCCAAAAAAAATGATGTCTCAGACTCTGCTGCTCTATTTCTCGAACGAAAGAAGATGAGGGTGATGATGATGGTGATGATTGGATTAAGTGGATTGCCGCATGCAGCCTTACGTATAGTATATCAAAACTAACATACATGCTAAACCAGTTGCAGCCACGAAGCTATTTATAACGTATCTTAACATCTGTCCAGGGATAAAACCGTGCTGGCACAGTCACGCCGCCCCCCCCCCCCCCAATCTTTCATCCATAGATCCATGGTCAGGCAGGGTTGAATGTGTAAGCATTTCCACCGCTCCGCCTGTTCATGGAACTGTTCCGGGGAATATATAACGTATACCAACTAGCTATCTGTAAACCAATTGCAATGTGGCCATGGCCCATAAGGCCGGCAGTCCGGGTTATATTCATACATGTACCTAACGAGACATATACGCACACCTCCAAGTCCCTCAAGTTGTCCAAAGGCACCTCTAGTATATACGTGCATGTATGTACCTTATGCCTAAATATACCTCGATTGGTCCAACCAATCCTACAGCTAGCTAGGCAATTGTTCCATATGAGATCCTGAGACGAATTGCCCTAAGTTTTATATATAAAGAACGTAACCACACATACCTACGATTCCCCCTTCGTAGGAGACTGCTGGTTGAGCAATCGGAGGTGGTTTAACTAGGTTGTTACACCGAGCCCCGAGCCCATAGTTCTTGAGTTCCCAACTTAGATTTGATATCGGTATATATCGATTCGGAACCTAGTTCACCTGACAAGTTTAAAGGGAGCATACATATATCTCTATGGCTTCTCCTTGGAAGGTCAATGATCGTAATTGAGATTGGTATATTCAACGCTATCTCCATTCCCGAGCTCACAGCTTCCAAGCACAGCAATCAACAGAGAGAAAACCGAAAACCACTACATTAACTCAACCCATCTACCCTCCCCCGGTCCCCCTCCCTCCCCCGGGGCACTACCACCTCTTACAAACCGTAATCATACTCTGCTCCCCCACCATGACCATATACTCCCCGCCCACACTAAACGCAATATGCCTCACCGGACTCCTCACCTTCGGAATGTCCAAAAAGTGATGGGGCCTCACCAGCCCAAACGGATCCGACACATCATCCCCACCCTTCACCCTCCCCTTCCCTCCTCCCGCCGCCGCCGCCGCCACGGGTGCCTCCCCTCCCCCCCCGCCCCCGCACTCCCCACACTCTCCTCCCTCCCCCGCGCCCCCGCCCCACCACCACTCTCCTTCCTCCCCATCTCCGTCCTACACAAATCCCACATATTGACCCTGCCCAACGTGCTCCCCATCGCCAACACCGGATGCATCCCCTCCCGCCCCAAAACCCAAAGCGCATGAAAAACGGCTCCGTATCCCTACACTCAAACATCACCAGCCTCTCAAAGCCCGCGCCAAACACGCTCCGCGTCTCACGGAACTCATGCGTCGTCGGCGGCGCCCCCCACACACTGGGATCAACACGGCTGTTGAACCCCTGGATCGACCACAGCACGATGCGGCTCTCCTTCGCCGCCTTGCTCAGCACCACGTCGCCGTGCCAGGCCAGACAGTCAATGTAGTTGCTGTGCACCATGCTCGTCGCAAAATGCGGGTAGTGCAGCACCACCGGGTCGTCACGGCCTGCCGGCATGGCCGATGGCAGGATCCACAGATTCACGATGTGGTCCATCCCGCCGCTCAGCAGGTACCGCCCCGACGCGTGGAACGCGATGCTGAGGATCGTCTCGCGGTGGCCCTCCCCCGCGCAGATGAGCGCGCACGGCTGGCGCTCGTACTCGGCGCTAATATTCCACAGCCGCACGGTGGAGTCGGCGGACGCCGACGCAAGGATGTCCTGGTTTATCGGCGAGACAAGGATCTCCATGATCTCGTCGCCATGGCCGACGAGTGTTTGCTGCACCTTGCCCGTGCGGATGTTGATGATCTTTATTATCCCCGCTGCGCCGCCGACGGCGAGGAGGGGGGCGCCGGTGCGTGTGCAGCGCGTCCAGCAGGCGGAGCAGAGGGCCTCCGTGGGGAAGAAGAGGTCGTCGTGGAAGTAGTGGATGATCTCGATGCCGCGGGAGGGGTGCGGGCGCGCGATGATGGCTTCGCGGCCGCCGACGACGGCGAAGACGGGGTCGACGCCGGGGGGCGTGTACGGGTAGAAGTAGGCGCCGTAGTAGGTTACGCCGGGAGAGCCTTTGTTGGGCTGGGGAGAGGGGGTGTTAGTGAGGGCTGGAGGGGGGGGTTAGTGTGGGTGTGTGATGAGGGAGGGGGAGGGGGGGGGGGGGCGTACGCCGATGGTGGCTTTGACGGTGGGGAATTTCCAGGGGTCGAGTGGGCGTGGGGTGGGCGCGGTGGTGGTGGTGGTGGTGGTGGTGTTGGGCGTGGTCGTGGAGCTGGGGGTTTCGGTGTCGCGTTTTTTGTTCATTGTGGTGGGGGGTGGTGGGGATAATTGTGGTCCTGGATGGAGCTGTGTCTAGTGGCCGTGGGTTTTCGGGGGATTGCTCACAGAGGTGAGGAAAGTCTAGGAGGAGTGTGCTTGGTTCACTAGAGAGCCTTGGAAGTGCGCAAGAGCTGCCTAGAGAGATGAAATAATCAAACAGGCTTCTGTTGTGAGAACAATTCGTAGAGTGTCGTGAGGGGTCGTGAATGTCGTGAGATGAGGTTGAGGTTGCAATTGAGCTGCGAGGTCTAGTGCGCACTCAACCACTTAACGCTCGCGTACAGGGATGACACCCAGACTCAGAGAGAGATCTCGATCTCGACAAAGAATTGCCTCGAGATATTCAAGTTGTATCAAGGCTGTGTAGAGTAGGCAATGAATGTTCTCGGAGGAATCGTGAGAAGTCATCTTGGCAGCAGTAGGATCCCGCCAAGTCACGTGATGCACTTCGCGAATCATGAAAAAGCACTCGATAGCTGCCGGCGGAGCTAGTCACGTGGCGAGGGTCTAAAGAACTATCTGGTTGTTGTGCCAACGCTTGGGGTCAACCAAATGCCCCCCTGGTGCATGCAGCTCGTTCCCACTATCCCACCGTCAGTCTACTCATCCGGGGGAATAGTTGGGGTTTGGTGTGTGGTTATCTCGGTGCTCCCGGAGAGCATATGTATTGATCCAGCAAAACATAGTATTTTAACCAGTCCCCCGAGGGGAGTAACCACTGCAATGATTTAGTCTAGCTTAGAGATTGGAGAGACAACGTGAAATGGGGATGTTTCAGATCATACATTATCACTCGATATCTACATGCACGCAGCACAAACATTGCCCCCTGAACGGTAAGAATACTATAGCTGCGTTAATATGGTCGTCGCTATTATCGGGAGCGGTTAGTACGAGTCAAACTTCGGGCTTGGGGTTTCCTCACAACCCGCGCCACTTCGAGCCAGCCTCTGGCTCTATATCAAGCTGCAATCGCAGCTGGCATATATAGTTATTCAGTGCTTTCATCTAGCTAGAAGATATTGAATTCATCAAGGAAGCATTATTTTTGTAGGTTGGACCCAAGCTTGAGTCCGAAATTAACACTCTATGATCTGGCGACCTACCTCGCAGTACCAAGGGCCTGCGTTGCATGCCAGTAGGCGACGAGCTAACAGGCCCATGAGAAAGAGGTATTGATAGACCTCTCCTTCATTGCCGGGAATAGGCTTTAGGCCTGGCCCGTCAGAATCTACTCTCTCATGGTCTCTGAGGAATAGAAGCCTATAGCTCGATGGGATATACGTCATTTGATAGTGAAATTTTCTGAAGTTATTCTTAGAGATTAGAGCGAGTGACTGTAAGATAAATGTATAGCATTCATTATGATCTTAATTAACTACATTCATAGCCTCATAATTTAATTTAAGTAGGAATATAATATATACTTACAGAGCTCATATTGATCAATTGAGGTTGGTTTCATTAGGTGCATATACTTTACTTGGGTTGGATTTTTTGGCGTTCTTGATAATCATTTTCTGAGAGCGACTCGAGTGGTATATGCCTTGATACCTCGTATGTCTAGGGCGGCATCAACCATAGACCCCCCCCGGGGGGGGGGGGGGGTAGTCGGCGTCACGTAGGCATATACCACAACTCTCCGGCCTAGGCCTGTCAGTGATATATTGTCAGTAGCAATATGACAATAGCCCGCGAAAGCCATCCAGGTACGTTCTGTGTTGATATGGAGAGCACCAATATATGTTCACGTAATTAACCAAAAATTCGAGTAAACCCCTTTCCTTCCAGAGGATCATAAGTCGATTGATACGTTGAGATGCTTTTACTTGAATTTTCCATAGTAGAAAATACTAGAACCAAAACGTTGGGAACTCTTAGACCATAATGTTTTAAGACAAAGGCAGTCCATGCAGCCGGTACTGCTGAGCTGCCTGATGATCAACCTGTAGTGGCATAGAGCTCGATAACGGAGTTTCAAAATTTGTTCTTGTTCGATCCGGTCCGTTAAGCTCATTCTATTATCCGGTCTAGCTACAGTACAATCTCGCTATAAGGATATGGAAATGTGACGATTTTGCATCCAAAAATATCCTTATAGACCATTTATCCTTATAAGTGCCCAGTTCACCCAAGGTGGTCCCTATTAGGACCTAAGATATATCCTTATAGGCCGAATATCCTTATAAACAATATCCTTATAACGAGATTGTACTGTATTCTGGTGCAGTGCAAAGAACAAAATATCCAAAGATAATGATATCCTAAGTCATTTCTCCTTGTGACGTACGGGGTCGAGGGGCTGCATCTATTAGTTAGGCCATGGTAGGCCAACCTAGGTTGATAAGCTATACGCCGATCATTGTTCGTAGACTTTCGTGATCTAATAATCCCATTTGCAGTGATGCTCAAATAGGCGTAGCTTATATATAAATGGGAAACAATATGTGTTCAATTATTAGAAAGAAATAGCGGTAATCACTACTCATATATACCTTGCATATAAATGCAAGATATCCTATGATGGAGGCGTGTGTATGATCTGGAAAGGTTAGAAACCCGCCTTTCTGCGAGAATGCGTCCAAGAAAGGGCGTTGTTTAACTCAGGAACGCCTATGTAAAATTCCCTAAACGTCGTAATAGCTACAAATTCCACTAATGGTATTGAGCCCAGTATCTTCCTCTTTTCCAAAGACAGAGTATTTTATAACAGGTATAGCCACAGGATGCTACGAGCCAGCTCCCTGGACTTTGTGGGGGATTTCCACTATCGAGATCATTAGACCGGACGAACTATTACAAGCCTGCGCAAACTGGTATCCACCTAGCCTTTAGGAGCTGAATCAGCGAGATAAACACGAAAATGCACCTTACGTGGTCAAAGAGCCTTCTATCTGTTTCATAGGGTTTCTTGAGAAACACTTATTGGTGATAGATTTTTGGCTTGTGAGCCTCGATGTCTCACCCCATCTCGGTTGGAGACTCCCGCTAATATGCGAGACTGCGGGTGGCGACATTCTGTCCGGCTAGGGGAAACATGATGATTGAGCTCCTTCAAGGATGTATGTTGTTGGATGATATCTAGGTGTGTTGGTGGTTAGGCGGCACATGTGTTGTAAAGAGATGCGGAAAGGAAGTAAGATGTAGACTAAGCTTTAGTTTCTGTTCCCTGGTGGATTGCGTTTTTATCTTGAGCGATTTTGCTCCCCCCTCCCCCCCCCAGAACTCCGGTAGCTCAAGTTAACTGTCTTTCTTATTCCTAAGTGGGATTGCCCAGTTTTTTTTTATCATAAGTAGCCTAACCAGTCCCAGCACCTATAACTCGCCTCCAGCCTAGGGCCTAAGCTTAATTTGTGCGACAATATAAATGGAGTAAACCGTAAAATTCTGCCGCAGTCGACCCGGCCCTGAGTGGTTTCAGGAATCGAAGTCTGTACTTCGTCTTGTCCTGATCATAGGCTACTAATATCTCAATATAGACCTATTACAATTTTATCGAAGTTTCCTATAATAACTGAATACCCTAAGCGAGTTGGCCTGTTGAGGAAGTGGACCACTACATGTGCATGTAGAGCTTTTCGAATCTCTATCAAATCTCTCGGCTCGTACAGGCCAGGGCGGCCGGCCAGAGACATACCTATCAGCCCAGCCATCGAATGTTCAGGCCAACATGGGGCTTAAATAGTTACACAAATGACGGGTGTATATAAACGAGTAACAGAACTGTTTGAATGCTAACTTTGGTTCGTATATACGTAGCCTGTATAGCTGTTCTGCGGCATCGTGGCCTGTCAGCGCTAGCTGATCTACATGTAACTCTGCTCAACGACCTCCCATTACCACCACCACTAAACACCTACACTTAACCCTCAAGCTGATCCAGAATTCCTTCTACTACTATCCATGTTGTCTCATCATCAGCTCATCACTCACGGATATATGAACCAGCTGGCGGAGGAGCCGCTCTAGGAAAGTTTCCCGGGCGGTTCGACTCCAGCCTTTTGACGTGACAGACAGAGTCTGATTCACCAACCGGCAACTCTTAACCGTCGGCTCCAGGGCTGAAGGGTTTGATGATAACCAGGTAAATTCAAACTGATGTCTGGGTTATTCCGTGATATTTGTTGATTAGTCTAGCAGTAATAGTCAAGTCGCTCAAATCACCACCACACATCAACGTGAGAAGGTCAGCCTGGCTGGCTAGCCTTTCTAATAATCGGTACAAGACCAACGAAATCTCCCTTATAAAGATCTAAACCCGTTGAAATCTTTTGCTAGGAAGGTGCAGGCAGCAATTGTTGGCTTGGGCCGGGCAAGGCCAAGCCGTCGTTTTATAGGCCGGGCAGGGCCAAGCCAATGTTTAGCCCGGACTGACCTATTAGAAGCTTTGCAGCGCTACTATTCCTGGTTTTGGGCCCTGTCGCTCAACGATGGATCCCCGGAGACGAGCAGGTCACAGTTCATGGCTTCATTGGCTTCTGTGCAGACTAAGATTCTGGATTGTGACCCTCCTATGAAGATTTCATCTGTCACTTCGGGCCGGTCACGCCTATATATAGCTATCACGCGTTTCCTGCATATATACCGCTATCCTTCCTCAACCTCAACCCTTCATGTATCTTGGGGAGTTTATATACCAAGGACTGTGTATAACTTCAAATAAACTTGGGCTGGCGCGATAATTTCCGCGAGCTCCCCGCAGTCGACAGCATTCGGTAAAGGTTTGGTCTCCACAGTCACGTTGACGAATGGGAAAGCTGTTATTGTCACCGTGCAATCCAAAATTTCGAATCCCGGCGATGATTATATTGAACAAAGGGGCAGGGGCTATTTAAACTCTTGCTATCAACACGGGCGGGATGAGGCCCGCTGTCTAGCGGGTCAGTCCCCGGACAGGTCGCCCAATTCACGATCTGGATCTAGATCCTTATGAAGATTAAAGTTTACAAGCTTTTCAAAACAGGGCTAGAAACCCAAGCCATTTG